TCTGGAGTGTAAACGCTTCGCCTATGAGAAAAAGGAGCAGCGCATGAACCGAACGAAACACACGCGAACCGAACCGAGACAGTCGAACCGAACGGTTCTGACGGTTTTCATAAACCGTTCCATCCCTAATGCAGACTGTTTTTCAGTTTGTCATTAATGTTCAACTAGTTAAAGTTTCCCTTTAAGTAGAAAATTCAAGCTTAACTTTCTGATTGTTTGAATTATCCTAAGAAAAATAAAATTTTCTCTAAAAACGATCTAGTCCAGCTCACATCCTTCATATAATCAGGACTAAAGTATCGTTGGAATAAAGACAATCTGCTGCTTTCGCCTCAAAATGCAGGAAACGGGTTCAGAGTCTAAATTTCAACCTTTTCCAGGAGAGGACCCCCCCACCCCCCTACGCCGTGCAAAGCCTAAAGATGTGATGCACCAAGATGGACACCCCATGAAATATTCCTAAAAGCCTGCTGGTCGTTGCCCCCCCCCCCCGTTTCCTGAAGGACTTCCTTTTCTTTTCTGTTTGACGGTGAAACTCTGATGGAAGTTTGATGTGAATCTGATGAGGCAGATGAAGCCGTTTCTGCCTCAGGTTGTCGTATTTCTGGGAAGCCCCCCCCCCCTTCATGGTGTCAACACCCACATTAGTGATCAGAGCCCCGTGAACCGTGCTAACCGCTGTCTGCTGTGAGACTGGTTATGAACTGGCTTAATAAACTGGTTTCCATCTCTGTGACAGCTGTGCGTCTCTGTCCAAAGCCGCAGAGACGCGTCCAACAAACAACCAATTAATTTCTCACAGCTTCTCGCTGGTTGACTGGGAATTGGGGGAATTGCTGTCATTCTCTTGCATGGCTGTAATGTTTTTATGTTTCTGTCTCAGATGATTGGTTTGACCCGGCTGCCCTTTTGACGATCACCCAATCAGAGATGAGGAATGGGAGGTGATTGAAGGACTGAAAATGTCTTTATGCTAAAAGCATAAAACATGAAATTAAATTGGTCTAGATGTTCATCAGCTGGTGTTGAAAATGTTTTCTCAGTGGAGTAAGTTCCTACGGTATGTAAACGCCTCCATTTACACAATGAAGTCAGAATAAAATGTAAATAAAATGCAGTAAAGCTGAGGATAGACTTAGCTTAGTCTGCCGTTGTAGCAGCAGTTCCTCTTCCTGCGTCTGAAGGAGGCGAACGCAGCTGCAGGCTGGAGCCCAGTGTGAACATCGCACATTGTTTTTCACGACTATTGTGATGTGATCCCTGAGGTAATAAATGTCACATTTATTCTTTATCTGCTCAATTATTTGATATAGTTATAGCTAAAACATTTGGATTAAAATTATTTTTCGTCAAACACAATATTCAGAACATCTACAGTGGTAAAATATTGGTATTAATTTTATAGCACTAGTAGGACAGTAAGGCTGACAGGAAAGGGGGAGACATGCTGGAAAGAACCGCAGGCCGGATTTGAACCCGAGTCGCCCGCATCGAGGACTAAGGCCTCCGTATACGGGTCATGCGCACCAACCACTGCGCCACCAAAGCACACCTCTGAAAGCAGTAATTATTAGATCATATCGTTTATCAGTTTTAATTAGTCAACATATATAAACATTTTTTCCAGTTACCAGGGCGCATTGATGCTTAAGCATTCTGCGCTAACAGGAAAGCAGATTAAAGTCAGTGACACTGAACTCAGGCCTAATCCAGTTAAAATCTAAACTAATCCAGTGAGAATCTCAGCTAATCCAGTGAGAATCTCAGCTAATCCAATGAGAATCTCAGCTAATCCAATGAGAATCTCAGCTAATCCAGTTAAAATCTCAACTAATCCAGTGAGAATCTAAACTAATCCAGTTAAAATCTCAACTAATCCAGTGAGAATCTCAGCTAATCCAATGAGAATCTCAGCTAATCCAATGAGAATCTCAGCTAATCCAATGAGAATCTCAGCTAATCCA